TCGTGTCATTTAATGCTCATTATGCTTCGAAACCAACGCGACTGTACGCAGTTCAACCGTTGTTCCTCTTCCTTTAATAGAAGAACTGTCGCCATGCCATAAAATAACGATGACCTGACACAGGCAACACACAGGCGGATATTTGTGTTATGAGACAATCGTATTGGACATGTTTCCAAGAGCAACTGAGGTCAGAGAAATCCTGCTATTTAACTCAGGCTGGACAATGCAATCGCTGAAGATGACTGAGCCGAGATTGGTCAACCTGCTAGAGCGCTTCTTCTTCGTGTTTCACATTCACATTAAATCACTTGTGCTGGGTGGGTTCCAAATAACCAGTATTCTCATCGAAAAGAAATATTTCTGCCACCAATAAAGGTCTACTGAGCTGGTGACTGGTTCAGACAAGTTAATTAAAATGTCGATAACTAACTATTTCGTAATGCATGACAGTCCTTCATGACAATTATTCTACTGCGAAGACTGTGGAAAAATCATAAAACCGTGCCTGGCGCTGTCATACTATCCCAAGTGTCATTGCTGGTCTCCACCACAACGACGGCGTGTTAGAATTTACGAGCAATCAGTTCCTTTACAAAGCTTACCCTATGCTGTCAAGACTTGTGTAATTCTTGTTGTCAGGTGAATTTTGTCTCATTACCCTCATACCAGGAACATAAATAATAACAAAGACCGCAAAGAAATCAACACACTACCAACGAAGAACAATGCTGAAACTATTGTAACGATAACAGAAGCGCCGAATGTATCCTACCTTTTCCTGCGACAGCTTCTTTGAAACAGACTGGAACCAATGCAGGCTGTCAAATTCTTTGTACTGGTTAAGTAATTTCAATGTATAAGCGATGCCTGAAAATCACGAAACAGCTTATCAAAATGAGACCAAACGGCGACTAATTCGTCTGAGTATTGTTTAAGGACTTTAAGTTTGTGCTAACAGATCAATGGGAGTAAACTACGAAAGATAAGAGGGCGCTGAGATTAAGTAAGGCGCAGATTAAACGGTGACGCATATCAAAATCTGGGCAAAGCCACCTTCAAGAGCAGGATTTTGCGAACTTCCCGCTTTCGACAGCTACAGCCAGTACTATTTAAATCTGCTACCAGGTAAGCGAGGGCCCACTGCAGCTACATAGCTTGCCAATAGGCACTGGTTTCGTAAACCATACCAGAACATCTTCTATTAGAAGCATTCGTTGTTTGCAGTACGCCATTTGCTACCTGTCGTCATCCAGCTCAATGGAAGAGAAATCAGTGCAAATTCCTTGCCTAAAGAATAAGCTACCGAAACTTTTCGAACCAAAACCTATAGCTTTCACGGCCAAACAATTACGCATGCATCATCGTCTCTTCCCAATCCACAGTAAACAAGAAAAGCGGCGTCGATAGGCAAAAGTCCAAGAGCATCCCACAGTTGTTTGGTGATTCGTCTCAGCAAGACTTCCCGATGTCATCGAATCAAAAATGACGGTTGGACTTAGCGATGCTAAACAAACGATCACGTCTCGGCTAATGTCAAGTTGTGATATCAAATGAACTGTCCGGCGACGAAATGTGGTACAGAAGACTAACGAACAATCGTGTCTGACTAACGAAAAATCAGTGTATGAAACAATTTTCGTAATGTCCTGTGACAGGACCACAACACGACATGGGTACATCAGGGTGTAAATCGATCCAAATCGTACTGAACAGGATCTAAAACAGTTTTCATTTTCAGCTTAGTTTTCTGCACTAACAGTTAATTCAATATATACATATATATACAAACTACAATCAAAATCTCAAAGAAACGTCTCACCGTACCCATCGCGAAACCGTCGTCTGTGAAGCAGCCGCCTTCATGACTTCGTTTGTTTAGCTGCTCTTTGCATCTGATGATGTAGTCGACGAAATCTAAGGTCTGAAACGAACGATCAATTATTAGTCGCAACAAAACGCCATGAACACGGCTAAGTGAATTGGAGGAAACTTCATCTATCGAATGGTGAACGAATATGAAAAAGTTCTTCGAAAGAACCAGTTACTGTTCAATCATTTCTCGAGCTAATAACAATGCAGCGAAGCAGAAATTCAACATGTAGATGACCCATCAGAAGCGTGCAATGGAAAACGCATTTACGTGGATCTTAGAATACGCAAAAATAAATTTCAATTTACATATATGTGATTAAGCAGTACGACAGTAGTACAGTGTGCATGTTCGATATATGCATAATCAAATTACATAATGGTATCAAATTGCATCCAACTTTTCAACCTTATGGACGAGTTCGCGCAACAAATCCAATAATGGTGCATGACCAAATGTTAGAAGCAAAGCTAGCAGACGAGTGATATGCCCAGGTGCTTTAATTTCGACTCATCGGACTGTCTAAATCCGGTGAAATAACAATTAAGCTTTGCTTCTATTCCTTGCTAAAGTGGTCAGTCAGACTGTAAACCAGCGGATAACTGCAACTCACCGTTTGTGCTGAAATGCCGTATGCCATGCCTCGATCGCATCATTCACATGTAGTAGACCGTAGACAGTCGTTTACTCGGTAATGCATGTTCTATAAGGCAACATCAAACCTAAATCAGCCTGAACACATGCGGTACTGCGTACACGCAATGCTGGTAGCTAGTTTTTTCAGGCAGGCTGTTGTCCTAGGCACAGTGCAAAAAAAGTTTCACTTAACAGCGTACCTTGACGAACGCGTTTAAATCAATACGCTCCTAGCTTTGTTCCAGCAGCATACGTAACTAAAGCCTTCGATCTACTGGTTCTAATCTGCTTCCTCATCTAGTAGTAATTACTGGTTATTAAAATGACATTCACAGACATAATCAGAGGCTGAGAAGAGGCCATCAAGCAAATCCAAGGTTTCGATTTGTCCTGCGGAACTTGCCTGATTGCGAGAACATTAATCTACCGTCTACCACATACGAACGATACAATCGAGACGTGGCACCGACCTTTCAATACTCGGTGAGTTGTGCTCATCTGTCAATTTACAAATTATTAGAAAAGTTTCGCAAGAGACGCGATCAAGTGGCGATTATTGCTGAACGTTACCTCGCCGGATTTAGACAGCTTGACGCGTCAAAAGTCAAAGCATATCAGACTCACAGGACGTCCGCAAGCTTCATATTCAACATATGGTCAAGCATCACTAGTGAATTCCTTGTCTAGCATCGTCTAAAACTTTGAACTTTTAATTTAAGAGTAATAAGTAATTTTATCATGTCAACATCGAAATCCGTACCTACTTCTAAATTGCATCTGAATTTACTGACGGTACACTGACGCATGCTTTCAGTAAGGTGCTCAGGATCGACGGATTCCCGTCTTCATTGATCACAAAACGCCCCTGTACAGATGCACGTTTTCTGACAAGAGTCAACGACAATCGTACTAATGATCAGGTTCAAACACTTAGAAGAATCAAGCATTCGACGAACTCATAAACAGGAAAAATGGAAGACAGAGAAGAGCAAAAACCCCATATTTCGGGCGGTCAAATTCTCGCACCATAATCGTTACGCAAAATGTCAGAAGAACAAGAAAACAAAAAACAGACAAGACCGGTTAGAGGAAATTAAACAGCGAAGTTTTAGTAGCACTCAGACCATAGCGATTCGAAGAATGTATGGCCATTTTCTCAGGACAAAGCAACGGGAAAGCACAAAAAGGAGTATCTTTTGTAGCGAGACAGGAAAGCGGCGGAACCAACGGTGAGATACAAACCTATATCTTCTAGATTTAGGCGTTACATGAAATTCAGTTACTAAAAGCCGTGCAAGTACACAGGATCAACGGTACATACCACTTTATGACATCTACCGCTACAACTTTAAAAAGTCCAAAAAGTACGATGAACACGTAACGATAAAACAGCAACAGATTACTCCAACCCCTTCAGCTGTAACTGATAAAGCTACCGACGAATTATTGCGCAACTTTCAAACTTAATTTGCTTAACCTGCAATGTTGCCATCAATAGCAAACGACAATCTAAATAAATATGCAATTCATCTATACAAAGCATATTACGTTTAAATGCAAAACAAAAGTTACGCTTATTAATCAATTCATCGTTTGAAACTCAATTTTCTTGCTTACACCACCTGAACGAATTCTTAACTTTCACTAGCAACAATTTTATCCCTAACTGAACAGCAGTTGTTTCTTTCGCTCGAAAAGCGATCTAATTAGGTTATGGCTGGGAATGGGCCAATCCCGTTCTCAATATTAGAGTGCATCAAACAAGTTCCTGAAACATCTTCGTGTATGCTTAATAAGCGAAGTCGTGATTAATGCAAAGGTGCGAACTAACGATGGAAATACCTTGAAGGAAGCAATGGGGCAAAATCGATAAAATACATAAAAACCATTGTGAATTATATCACATTAAGAATATCTAAGATAACTGTAAACGCAGCTCATGTTTGTAAAACACTCGATCACGGACCAGTCCAAAAACCGTGTGCACCAGATAGGCACTTCCTTATAAAATAGCATCGCTATGCTTCAGAGAAAACGACGCACTTGGCAAGCTGAGATAATCACACCGAACAACAAAAACGTACTACAAAAGGTCAATAAATGTTGGACTTCACCATGGTCTGCATATTCCAGAAACTCGCTCATGTCACTAGCATTTCGTTTCTGCTCCCTCCAGTGGAACCTTGCTATGTACTTTGGTAAAATCGTTGGCTATGCTGCAGAGGAGCAGCATGGATGAGCCAAAGGGTTCAGTGAAGTGGGTTACACGAACGTCATTTAATTCTGTTACGGCAGCTCTTGTCGAATACGCTAGTCCGCCGCATCTAGACTTTAAGTATCACTGGCTACCAAGAGAGCATACACTTAATGGAAACAAAATATAACCACATATCGAAAGTCATAGCAATACGCGACCGTGGAACAAAATTTGGATTGTCCGATCTTACATAATCATCTTTCTGACATAAAGTACTTTCTGTAGTTGTCCATACAGTAACCTGGAAAACTGACACTTGCAGCAGTAACTCTTAAAGAACACTTCGGAAATATGTTGAGCGAAATTGAAAAAAAAGTCCGCCATAATAGCGACCTTATCCGATGACACTTTTGGCAGGTGTTCCAAACAAGATATAAAAAGTAATACAGCGAAAGATAAGGCGGTAGGTCCTGAGAGAACACCAAATTGAAATAATATAAATCATAGCTATTAGACTACGCTGAATGAAGTAGCCAACAGAGCATTTCAGAAAGCTAACCAATCCCAACTTACCAAAGCAGGGACAATGATGTAAAAGTTCTTCAGATGCAAATGTCGCTCGTTTCGAAACTCAGAGGAAAACACGTCGACCAGTAACTAAAAGCAATCAAATAACAAATTATATTAAGAAGCAAATAATCACGTTAACAAAGCAGTCAGTTGATACGTTCGGTGTTATACTACAGGTACTAAATACAGTGAGCGAATGGATTCATTAAAACAAGGTTGCAGGCATTTACAGATATAATCACCTTTATTAAAATTTTCGGTCTGTTTGAGGGCCATAAGATCTTATTATCTTCATGCCATCATTGAAGAATTTAACTTTTCCGCAACACAGTGTTCATATCAGTCGTCACATGAAATTACGTTATTTAACATAATCCAGCGTACGAAGAACTTATAACATCCGAGTAACAGATGAACAGATTGAAACATATGAGGAGTGGCACTTATTTAAACACTGTTCGTGATGAACGCGAAGTGGCTCTAGCAAACAAAACGATGCGAGATGCACCTGGCATTGTCAATGCTCAAATACGATTTAAGCATCGCCTGCTTAAATGCCTTCCCCCGTGGCAATTAATATAGGGGCGGTGCAATACACCGTGAAATCTGGACTTGACGGAGTCATGTGTCATACGAATCATCGTAACCATTGGAGAATGTAATGAATTTCTTTATAGGAAAAATGATATCATTTGAAGAGTGGCATGCATAGATAGATGTCGATATAAAGCATTTCGATTACATACATGTAATTCATACGATTAACGTTTCGGATCATGTTAGACTGACCTTCACAAGCGATGTAACAGCAATACTCACGATATCAAGGACGCGTCCCTTATACGCATAACCAGCACGGCTGATCGCGACGCGATCTTGAATTAAACGTAAGCGATGCATGGAGAAAAAAGCATAAAACGGTTCATTAACGCTAGTGGCACATGCAACGCGATCAACCATCGCAACTGAACCCCACTCACATGAACATAAAGCCATACGTTACTTACTGCACTCTAAAGAGGGGCAACAAACAAAAAACATATCCAAGCGTAATTTATCCGACTTATTTTGCAACTAGCAACCACACTGTAAACAAGGCAATAACAGAAAGCAAAGTGGAGATATGACTGATATCAACTACATAAGCATCACGGCAAGGTAAATATCAAAAATATTAGACCAAACATCGCCAACCAATTTTGCCTATTTGCGCTATGGTTTTTGAAAATGAGCATCATATTTGTAATAACAGACATCCAATGAAGTTCTATTCTAACAGACACATCAACATAATTGGATCAGGTCGGACGCACCGCGGGAGGCGCGATGCAACTCTGCTATGCAGCGAGTAAACGGGGTTACTCCGCTTCTCGGCGTTACTCGGCTTGTTCTCCAGAGGATAACCATGGGCAACTGAAAACCTGACAAAACAGAGAACCAACTTCTTCAAGGGAGGGCCTCAGAGTTTTGTGATAAGTTGCACAGGTCTTCGCCATCAGCCATGACAAATACAGCAGAAACAGAAGTACTAACTCATGAACTGCATAAGTAAACAAATCTTAATAGCACCTTTGAAAGTCTTTCTGGAGCATTTTTAGTCTTTCTGGATACTCTCACTGTACGGGAATGATTTATTACAGACTGGATATGCCCGTGCTATGTGAAATTCGCTCATTATGTTAGTGCCAAGTGATCTGACGTGCTGCAACTGTACCATCGCCATTCATGCAAACAGATCATAGAGAGGCAGTTTAATTAATCTACTACTTTTCGTGCTATACAAAATGCAAATTCACCCATTTGCTCTCTAGGTGTTCAACATGATCTCCTCGGCTAATATAATCATGGGTACGTACTCAACCCCATCAGTGATCAGACAGCAAAGTGGCGTGAGGACCGTTGTCGTCGAAAGGAGAAGGAAGAAGCTAAGAAGGGCTGGAAACGTAGCTCGGCTCCCCGACGGTCAGATCGTCGGCAATGACCGTCGGCTGGTATTCTCGCTGAAAGGCTAGGCCATTCGATCTTTCATCGTGAAGGTGGGAAAATTATACCAGGAGCCGGGAAGGCCGTGCTTGGGGGAAGAAGCCTCGAAACCGCGAGGAATGGTCAACGTATTGCGGATAGCCGATTTGTCACTGATTACCGACCGGTCCAAGTGATTCAAGCAATTTCCAACGTACATCTTTCCATGCTGTGTAGCCTAATCTGCGGTTTATGAACAGCTTTCACACAGAGTCCACGTTTAGCATGCATAGGTTAGCGCAGGGAGCACAAAGTGACCGAAAACTTTCTTTATCCAGTACAAGAACCCTTCTGGGCAGAAACATTTTCATTCTTCCGAAAGCGCATCATGCCATCGATGTTTTCCCGATGATCTCATATACACAGTTCCCAGTTGTAAAGATGAGCAGTCCAAGACAGAAGTAGTTTAGCGTTTCTTCGAAAGAAAGTCCGTTGACTTAAACAGGTGACGCGACCATGTATTTGCTGAAATGACTTGGATATTCCACCAGGTTCAGCTTCAGCCCAACTTTAATGATGGCATCATTCAGCTCTTGAATCCTGCTTATCGGTTCTTCTGATGACGTTGAGAAAATCAGAATATCGCCTTCAAACAATGATAAAAGATGGTTATTCTTGGTGGCGACTCTGAAAATCAGCAGTTTGCAAGCAAACCAAAAGTGCTGGGGATAATTTTTATTATACATACCGAACAATCGAAGTATATCTGTTGACAATCCAACATGCATTCGTTCGACCTAAAAAAGCGGTACTGCTATGCGCCAATATACTGCAGATGCTAAAATACCGTGAAGACGTGGCCTAATTAAATGGTAACCCAGGCTATTAGCAACAAGGGGAAGGTGCAACTACGCAATGCGAATCCGGAGAGGTGGAAGGAAAGAAAATCCATTCTTACGTGAATCTGCACTGCAACAAACATGCGTCAATGCCAACGCAACAAAACGTCGCCGCTGCCGCTTCATAGCCATGGTGCAAAAGAGGTTCGGGAACGCGGCGATGACTCCCTGCATAACCTTACCACCTGATCCAAAATGGCATTGAAGTCATCGAACATTACACAGGTTCGGTCATAGCTGAGGTAACCAACGACCGCGCAAGCTGTTAGGATACTAAGGCAAACAGAAATGTCGGCGATCAGAACCTGCTCCCCTTCTTCTGGCATCCGAGGACGTAGCAGCACGGCAACGACTGCGGAAAATCGACAAAACGATGACGAAGATACCATCCAGCAACTGAGCCGCTACCTATTCTGAAAGGAGCAAA